ATGAGTGTCAAACAGAGGATAATTTTTTTTAATAGATTGTGATAGAAGTTCTTGGAATGTGTGGTTGAAAAGTTGTGGAATCCATAAAAAATGTGGTTAATATTAATTGTTTAACTTTGATTTAGATAAAAATAAGATTTTAATCTCTCCCAAACAAGCTCTAGTTAGATCTGTACGAACAAAAGAAAAGTAGTAATATATGTGTCACAATCAAGGCCAGCCAGCTAGTAGTAGGTGGAGAATGATTGAGAAGAGAAAGAAAATTTGAATTCTTAAGAAACATAAAATATATGTATTAAATATTTAACCATTTTTTCTTCAGTAACTATTAAGTCAAAACAAGGGTCTATTTTTACCCCTTTTAAAAACATGCAACTCCACTTTGTATTGTACTTTCTATAGCAGTAATGATCCTAAGGATCCAATTATTGTAATAATGATTAAAGAAAATGTACATTGGGTTGCGAAAGGGTTTGTCATTTTCACTTTGACAATGATGAAATGTTTATGATATTAATTAATCAAAAGATAGAATATTATCATATGAACAAATTACAAACTTACTACTAACCCCAATGGCAACTAGCCAAGCTTATGTCTAATCACATTCATTAACAACTTTGTTTAGAATTTTGATCTTGAATGGATTAGCAACAGTGGTTGAAAAGTATTTTAGTTTTCCTTTCCCTTTTAATTTCTTTTTCTATATTAAGTACCATCATTCTCTAAACCAACTTGTAGAGTTATAGCATTTGTCCCAATAGAACAAGAATATATTCAAAATCTCACAAATAGAGCAGTGAGAGTTCCAGTCTTGAAGACGTATCTTTGAAAAACGATAGATACTATCATTTTCTAAAATAACGTCCAGAACAAGATTATATTCAAAAGCTCACGAATAGATTGGTGAGAATTCTAGCCTTGAAAACGTTCCTTTGAAAAAACGATCGATACTATCGCTTTCTAAACTAACGTCTATAGTTTAGACTATTCTACCACTAGGAAGAAAATGCATTCAAAAAATGATATTACTCAACGTCAAAAGCAAAATGAACCATTCATAACATTTAAACAAAATGTTGACATTTCGTGACAGGTAATAACCTTCACTTATTTGTTTTAGATCATAGACATTATTTTTCTTAGAGCGACGTTTATATAACTAGAATCCTTACCACTCTCATGATGGAGCTTTTGAGTGAGTTCTAGTGGTATTATTGTAAGTTCGAGATTACACAAATATATTTGATATGCAAAGTATATTATTTGTGTGATCATTAAATAATATTGTATAAGTAAGAAATAATTCTTATAACATTCAAATATTTAGGGTATTATGATAATTTTTCTGGTTGACAACTAGGCACATGTTTCATGAAACTTGCAATTGTGGTTCCATTCAATGCATGGAATGAATACAATTTAAAGATCAAGCATGTTGTGTGTATAGAAACTGCACACATAAAAGCCATAAAAAATAGACACAACAGGGGATGGATAATGGGATTTTTTGGCTTTTTTTATCATAACATGAATTCCACACATGAAATTTTTGATAAAATTTGATGAAACAATTTTCTGTACAAATGAAAATATTCTTTAAATATGGCAAAAAGGTAATCAAGAGAAATAGATGGAAGGTAGAATTGTTGTAGGTGGTGACTGAAAGGTACCTTTTACTAACCTTGTAGCGTATGAAATCCACGTCTTTAACCTTTTAGGCTGGAAAGTAGTTGGCACAGTTCAACTCTAACCTATTATAGATATTTAGCTAAAGTTCTAGATGTTCGTGCTGTGATTATAAATTTATTTGTGTATTGTAAAATAAATTTAGTCCTTGTTTGATCCTCATTTTTTGGAGAAAATGAATTCTTGAACGGTATTTTGATATAATTTCAATCACATATTTTTTTAATAAAATAATATTACAAGTAAATTCAAAATTTTTCTTTATTTTTTAATCACACATTTCACATCAATACACCATTCAAAAATTTATTTTCCTCATCAAAATGGGGCTCAAACAGGGGCTTAATATGCAAGTTAAAAGAATATATTGAAGTTAAGAACAAGTTTGGTAAAAATTTTAATCCAGTTAACATTAATTTTTTTATCGTTATTTTACTATTTCAGCCATCATTTTTGAAATATTTTCTCACAAATAGGATCCACTTTATCTCTAACGGTAAAAAAATCAGTTAACAAAATCCCTACCAAACAAGCACTAAAATTTAAACAAGATAGTTTTGATAAAGGTAAAAATTTTAAGAAGTGTTACATGTACATAATTGTCTACATAATGATATTCATAATTACACGTGGCGCTAGATCAATCTTTAATTCAAATCGCACACTTATACATCAACAATCAGATGATTGTTACATTACATTATGGACACTATTATGTGCAATAATTATGTACAAATAGAATTTTCCAAAAAATTTCATATTGTTTAAATATCAAAACAACGAGAGACTTTGAGCTACCGTTAATATGGCTAGCCTTTTTAGGTAGAGCTCAAAATTTGATCCCCATTTGGTAAGGATTAAAATCTAGATTTTAATTTAAATTAAATTAAATTTAACAATTAATTTTAGCTTAATATTTCAAGGGATTTACAAATTTTCAACCACACATTTCATCATTTTTTTATATCAAAATGTACTAAAAATTTGATTTTAATGCTCGCCAAACAAGAACTTAATATGATGCTGGAGCTTAGAAGCTCATACGAGCAATGCGATATGTATAAAGCTTTAACTAAAAGTCAAATTATAAAATTAATTGTTTAAGACGATTTACTATTTACCAAAACAATTTTAAAGTATCGATTAAATATTAAAATAATAATGGGATATAAGGACATTGTGCAACTCCTCTTAAATAAAGATCGAATTTTTTTATTTTTATTATTATTAGTTTTTTTGGGTTGGGTGATAAAAATTGGTAGGAGTTTGGAAATCTTCAACAATATCAATACTTTGTGACATGAAAAGTATTCAGACCGAATTTCCTTGAGTCGTCAATGCAATAGATGAACTCAAGCCTCCATATTTTCTATTTAGGAACGAGGCTATGTTATATGCTTATATCTCTTTTCCAATTACTTATCTGTTATAGAATCAAAAAGCATAGAAAACAAAATAATTTTCACCATTTTTTTTTTTTTAATACTATGATACTATTAAAATTAGTTAATATACATTTTGGAATAATCTATACTACATTTTCTCAATAAAAACCAGAGTATGGCACATAAACGATCAGTTCAAGCATAATTTTCCGTGTCCCTTTAGGTGTTCTCTTACTTCCCTCCATAAAATCTTGACTTTTCAGTTTAATTTCGAGGTGTCAATTACGAAGATATAAGAACATTTTCAAGAGATTATTTATTTATAAAGAGTATTCTATGCATTATAGAGAACATCTATAAATTTAGAGAATCAAAAATTTTATGCACTTCAACAATATTCTTTATTTTGACTCTTCATTTTATTTCTCTCAAGAAACATTTATTATTTTCTTCCTATATTTTATTTAACATAATTTTTATATATGAATGGCAAATCAATTTAAATGTGATTTGAATAGTTTAAGAAGTAGAATATTGAATTCTGTAACTTATAAAATGTAATAATTGTATATTAAGCCCCCGTTTGGCCCCCATTTTTAGTAATGAAAATGGGGGGAATAGTGTTTTGTTGAAAAAATGAGTAGTTGAAAAAGAAGGAAATTTTTTGATTTACGTGTAATATTATTTTATGGAAGATTGTACGGTTGAAAATACGAGAGAGAAAAATAGATTATAATGGAATGTAATTTAATGGAGATCAAAAATGGGCTAAGAATAGAGAGTAAGTTTGACTCCCTAAATTTGAAGAGTTAAATATACTCTCAATTGTAAAATGTTAAAATAGAGAGTCCCTTGTAACTTATTTATGTACATTAACTTGTCAAAAAAAAAAAAATATTTTGTATTTGATGAGTCTATTAGAGGTACTTCAAAGTGTGTAATGAGAAATTAAGATTTTATTAAGAAAATTGGAAAATGGAACGACGATTTCAACTACATAACAGTAGAGAAAAATGGAAATTTCTCGAGTATGAGTTGTCCAGAGATATATATATTAACAAAAGTGTGTTACGAGATGTCAAGATTCTTAGAGTGCGAGATTAAGAAAATGAGAAGAAAGGGACCATAGACTTTTGACTCCAAAGGGCAAAAATAAAAATGGAGTTTGCTATTTGTACATTTGGGGTTGACACTCTCCTTATAAGAGGAGAATTCACAATTATTTTATTACGTGTGGACCTCCTCTCTTGTGAGGAGAGTGTCATCCAGAGTGTCAATTCCGGATGTACAAATAGCTTTATTGAATAAAAATTTCTCAGATTCCAGACCGAACAACTGTCATTTCGTATTTGCCAGATGATCTTTCAACATTTTACACCCGTTTTTTTATTTTTTAACTCAATTTTTTTATTAATTACGATATTACATTTTCTTTCAGTGTGTACAGTATATCAATTTTTTAAATTGATAATACCCAACGGTTTGTCTATTTAAACACAACCTGTGCCCCCATTTTTCTTGCCATCTCCTTCGAATTCCAATTCTCTGCACAAAAGAGATTGCTTTTTCTCTCCCTTTCTTGAATTAAAGACTTCACTTTCGTGTTTTATCAATCGCCATTCTTATTCTGGTGCGTTGAGTTTCTCCATTGTGTTTCTTTTTACACAGTTCTAGAAACTTGGAAACGACGAATGGCCCCTAAAGATTATGTTAACTTATAAAGGATGATGCAAATTTTCGTTGATGGGTTTTCCAACTTATGTGATTTTAGTCAAGTTTTCTCTAATTATAATGTAAACTTAAGTGATTAATTCTTGGATTTAAATTAATGATGCATTAACTAATAATGAAGTTGATTCTAACTTTTATTCAGTTTTCCAGTTAGTTTTCTTTATTGGCTATGAAATTCTTTGACACTTTTATCCTTATTCTTGGCTTGGTTTTCTGCTGCTCCCTCTTTTTTGTGCAAGAAAAGCAGAAATCTATTTCCCAGCCGTGAAACCTGTAGATTGAGATTAAAAAATTGCATTTTTCATGTTAATATTCGGTGGATTTACATTATCTTGGCACTCGATGCTTACATATTTCAAGTATCTACTCAATACATAGATTGTTGGCTATAAATCCACTTTCGTTGAAGCAAGTCACTTTGCATTTAATGCTAAGATTGAAAATTTTCAATCTCTTCGGGAGAAATGTGTACTAAAAATGCTTTATGTTGACATTGTGGTGCCATCATTTATGAGGTAAGTGGCAAAATTTTATCATAAATAGGGGATGTAGTTCGAAGAGAAAATGTACAATTTAGAGAGGTAAAGAGAGAAGAAGTAGTGATCAGAGAGACGAATAAATTTATAATAGAGAAGAATATTCTCGTGAATGTTTTCTATTTGGTTTCTCCTATTATGAGATATATTAATTGTTGTCATCTCCGAGAGAAGGTTATTGTAATTCTTTCACTATAGTACAATCCTCCTATGGAAATAGCCTATAATGGTTTAACTAAGTAAATATTTATGTCCATTTTTATTTGTCTTTTTTCTCAATTCTACTTTAGCTGCGAGCCAACCTTGACCAATATTTTTCCTAACATAGATCAAGATGGAAAACGATGAGCTGTACATGCAGGTTCAGAGGCCAAAATATGAGTGTCTTCTATTTGGTTAGTTTATTAACTTAATGACAATCTTTAAGTTTTTTTCTCATGGGAGAAATATGACTGAAGCATTCTTTGAACATTTCAGATCTTGATGATACTCTTTACCCCCTAAGTTCTGGTCTGGCATCGGCAGTTCTTAAAAACATTCAAGGTAAGATTGTTTCTTCTTGTTCTTGAGTACTGCAGTTAATGGCTTGTTTGATAAAGTCGACTTAACAAAACTAGACAGTATTGCTGCACTGTCTAGTAGGACTTATAAAGTTAAATTTTGAAATGGTGTTTTATTTATGATGTGTTACTTTTCTAGATTATATGATCGAAAAGCTTGGAATTGAAGAGAGCAAAGTCTCTGATATGAGTAACCTGCTTTACAAGAATTATGGGACTACAATGGCAGGCCTTAGGGTTAGCTTTCTACTTCATTGTGATTGCTAATTGGAACATGATTTGCTTAGAGACCATTTGTCATGGAATATTTTATGTGCAGGCTATTGGCTACGATTTCGACTATGATGAATATCATAGGTGAGGAGCATCATCTCTTAATTTTTCATTCTATTGGCCTAAATATGTCATACAATATTGTTGTTTTAAGTAGAAATTAACTGGGGAGGTTCCAGTTTATTACTATAAGAAGCGAAGAGAAGGAGGCATTCGACATAGTTAAGCTATTGAACGTCTTTCTTGACATTTTGTAGTTTTGTCCATGGGAGATTGCCTTATGAA